AGTGATGTAGTAAATATGTTAGAACACAACATTTAAACGACACTATACTAGAATATACAATAGTTTATCACAGCAGAATTACAACATAATAGAAAACACAATAGAATAGACTAGAATAGAACAGAATGGACCAGAACAGAATAGAACATAACATTGCATAATGCGACGTGAGATCATTCAAGATGGAAAGCAAACAACATAAAACATCTGGTACAGCACACTATACCTTAATAGCTTATAGCCTATCACGATAGAATATATCATGTTCGACTATACTGTGTTATACCATATCACATTATATCACATTGCATTATATGATATTATGTTATATCCGTTGATATATTATATCATACGATATTATCTTATGGTGTCCTATAATATATTGAGTGCAAGCCTACAGGTAGTATGGACACCACGTTTTTCCCAAACAAACCTAACTCACAAGGATACCAGTACTTTTCGGTTTGACATTGCTGTCAGCATTGCTAGTACGACTGCGTGTCTATGTGAGTTGCTGATGCGACTGACGGCGGTGATAGTGATGCTCATGATGGATGATGATGATGATCATAAAGAAGAAGATGATCATGACCATGAAAGCAGTGGCTGTTGTATTGATGGTCCTGTCAGTTTTGTTGGCTCCTCTGGTTAGGTAGAGCCCCGCCGAGGCGGAGACCATGACCGCCATGTCTGACGTCCTCTACTTGGAGGTTCATGGGTAGTTATAAGTGGAGTTATAAGTCCCCCAAAATAGGCTATAACTATAGTTATCCTACTTATAACCCTACTTATAACTACTCATGAACCTCCAAGTAGTGACTCTAGTAACACGGATCTGTCGCCCACATGCTTCATGCAGCGTCATCCCGGCAAACAGGACATGGGACCCACAGCAACCGATAACTGCTGCAGCTCCGGCCCTACATGCTATTGTCGACATTACATTCTGCAGTTCGTCCTGCTCCTACTCCTCGCACGACTGAATAATTCAGAACCTTATTCAGTCCGAAACTCTCAGCCCCAAAGCCTAAATCCCAAACCCGCTAACCATAGCCCTGCAACCGTAAACACTACATTATGTATAAATTATACCACATATGCTTCATACACGTTTTGACATCTTACGTACTATACACGCCAAAGGAGCCGGCAGGACTTCGATCTCGATGAGATTAAGACTGGTGTGAAGGAGCTTGGTGTCGAAGGAGTGCAACAGGCGAAGTTGCTCACTGAGCTCATCATAATCCTGCGCAGCTGAGGCTAGGGTTTGGGCTTTAGGGTTGAGATAGGCTCAGGGCTTGAGGCTTAAGGCTTGTGGAGGCTAGGGCTCAGGATCAATTTAGGCTAGGGTTCAGGGTTGAGCTTGCGGGGTTGAGGTTTTAGGGTTCAAGCCTTTAAAGAGCGCTTTCGACCCTTGCTGAAATTCATACATCCTAAACGCTTTTACCCGATCCCTGGTGGAGGTGACCAAACACACCCGAACCAAAGCCCTTCGTATAAACGCGGCAATGTTGATAATTACTCATTGTTCCGATCTCGAAATAGAACTTCTGACCCTCAAACCCTGAACCCTAAACCCTGCAACGGGCTGAACGTGAATAGCCTGAAAGCTAACCCTGATGTACCTGAGCCCCCAATCCCGAAGCATCCCGAAACCCTGAGCCCCAAACGTCCCTGAATTAAAGGAAACTACAGTTGGGGAGTTTAGGGTATATAGGGCTTCTATAAGTTTTCTATAAGGTATATAGACCTTCTATATGTCCTAGACTAAACTCGAAGCCCTGAACCTTCAAGCCCTACCCTAAATCCTATACACCTACGTAAAGACCCTAAAGCCCTTAAGCCCCGAACCCTCAACCCTACAACCCCTAAACCCAAAGCCCTAAAGCCCTAAAGCCCTAAAGCCCTAAAGCCCTAAAACCCTAAACCCTATAACCCTAATAACCCTAAAACCCTATAGATCCCCTTAAGGGAACCCTTATAGCACCCTTTAAAGGAACCCTTCTAGACCCTTTAGCCCACCCCAGCTCTCCGGTCCATAGACAGAAGCTTTCTGGCCGAATGCTGCAACGTCTCTGCGAGCTCGGAATGCTTGGGGAGAAAAGCGAGGTCCAAGATTCCGAACCTCGGATTAGGATTTAGGGCTCAGGGTTTAGGGATAAGGGTCTGGGGCTTGGGGCTTTGGGTTTAGGGCTTAGGGTTTAGGGTTCAAGATTCCGAACCTCAGAGAAAATCCAGGTTTAGGGCTCAGGGTTTAGGGCTTAGGGTTTAGGGTTTAGGATTGTATTCCGAACCTCAGAGAGATAAGGGTTTAGGGCTTAGGGCTTCGGGTTTAGGGTTTAGGGCTTGGGGTTTAGGGTTCAGGGGGTTGTTGTAAAGGACACTATAGAGGTAGATACCGGATACTCTAGCGAGATAAGGGTTACCATAAAGGGTTATTCTACATGACACCATAAAGGGTTGCGTCAAAGTGTCAGGGCGGTTTGCAGCCTGGGGTTCTCAACCAGAGAGTAATCCAGAGGGTTTACAAGTAGAACGTGGTTCGGGATTCAGGGTTTTAGGGTTCAGGTTTAGGATTTTGAGTCTAGGGTTTTGGGTTTAATTCGGGTTTAGGGGTTATGGGTTAACCCTAAACCCTAAGATTCAACCCGAGCCCTACACTGAGAAAGTCTATGTTTTCATGGGCTGAGTTCGCATGCCTTCTATTCAGCCGCCTCTTCTAAGCCAGATGCCGCGACCCTGCAAAACTAAGGCCCAATGTCAACCCACCCCCTAATCCCTGAAATATGCCTCACGAACCTAAACCCCAAACCCTAAACCCTCAAATATGCCTGAAACCCCCCAAGCCTAGAACCCCAAAGCAAAGCTCACGTTTTCGTGTCCGAGCCTTCTCTCTGTGCGCGTTCGGACATGGACGGCACCCGCCCAAATCACGGCGATCAACGCACCCATAAGAGCCTCGTGCGGCCGGGCGAACAAGGACAAGGGCGTAGGGTTTGGGGTTAAGTTTAGGGCCATTCGAACCTGCAATGGTAGCGCTAAACTCCTTAATAGTGAGTAAGTTAAGGTTTAGGGGTTTAGGGTTTAGGACTTCGGGTTTAGGGTGAAGGTTGAGATCAACGTTCAATCCAGCCTTAACCCCCAACCCCGAAAGTGTAAACCCTAAATCGCTCTTTGGCAAGGACAGCTTGCACTGAATGCAGCCAGGTCTCCAGCGCAGCAAAGATGACCGAGCCTGTGACGTCTTAGAGCGCAGCAGTAGGAGCTCAGGATCCCCCTACGAGATCGTGGGACAGGGCTTAGGGTTTGGGAGGGTTAGGGTTTAGGGTTTAGGATTTAGGGGTTTAGGGGTTTAGGGTCCTTAGGGTTCGGGCCTCAGCAGCTGCCGAGGTTTTGCAAGCCCCGATAGATTTCGCGGCCCTGCCGGGTTCTGCCTGCCTTACTTAAACTGCAAGACGTGCATGGCGCCTCACCCCTGGATCAAAACTAGCACGGGAACGAAATTTCCGGCTGAAGCCACGAACGCTAAAATCGTAAGAGCTGCAAGGCACAGATATCTAGACGGTGTCGTTGCTAGCTTCCTCTTAGGACCCATGGGCAGTCTGCAGGGAAATCGAATCCAACAAAATGCACCCCAGACGCTCACGGGAAGTTTCAGACAACTTCAATGATCCAAGGGATCTCTTCTAGAAATTGCAAAAATACCCGATATAAAGAGGATCCTTATGACCAAGACCCGCACAAGGGGCACCCTGGTTCCAAGAACCCACGAAATTCATCTGGCCGTGAAGCCTACAGTCGACACTGCCGCAGACATCAGCATCTCCTGGCCACTTGGAGGTTTAGGGTTTAGGGTTCTTTGTTATGGTTTCGTCAGTTTATATAGCTCTGAAACATGATAGGGGGTTTTGGGCTACAGGTAAGGTTCAGGGGGTATAAGTACTTATAACTATAGTTACTCTACTTTAACTTATGACTTATGACCCTACGTACGAAGTCCACTGATCCTCTAAGCAGGAGTCATGCTGGATGGCGGCGGGGTGTGAGCCACGAAGAACCCCTTGGTTCAAGGTTTTGGGTTCAGGGTTTTGCGGTTCTCAATTACTTATGTTTGGGGCTTGGGGTTTTCAACACTATAGGCCTCCAGTAACAACGTTCAGGACAGTACCCTAAGGGTGGCTGTGCTCAAAGAGTATATACTTTGGCCCCAAAGTACCTTTTCATGGAACACGTTGCAGCCAAAGTATATACCATTGGGTACATGGACCCTTGGGGCTAGGGCCTGGAACCCCAGGCGACCGGCAAACCCGTCAGTCCTACACCTTAAACTAAACCCTTCAACCTAATCCTAAACTTCAATCCAAAACCTTTAAGCCAAAACCCTTAAATCCTAAACCCTAAACCCATAGGAATATCCCTAAAAGAGTAAACAAAACCCGTTAATCCTAAACCTATAACCCTGATCCAGGCAGCTCCAGACTCCAGCCCTAAACCCTGACTTAAGGGACGATAGGAGGGACCCCTAGAAGAGACCCTTTATCCTAATACCCTATATAACCTTTATATACGCGTTATATAGTCTCATAAGGCCCCAATATAACCCCTAGGGTCCCTTTAAGGGTCTCTCCTTTAGTCCCTTGACTGACCCTCTAGAACCTTCCTTCTTAGGGTCCCTTCATATTTGGTTCCCTGCTATAAGTCCTTTACAAGGTTGCTGGGTTACTAAACCCGAAACCCTAAACCCTGAACCCCTAAACCCTAAACTCCTAAACCCTAAAGCCCTAAAGCCCTAAACCCTGAACCCCTAAACCCCTAAACATCTAAACCCCTAAACCCTAAACACCTAAAGCCCTAAACCCCTGACCCCCCCCCGCCCTAAACCCAACTTGGGGTCCAGGTATACCTTCAACCTCTAGAAGCCGGGAGAGCTGTACCTTCAGGCCCATGGAGGCTCCTCTTAGGGTTTAGGGTTTAGGTGGAACCCTCACCGGAAATCACTCCTCATCCATCGCAGGCAGGTGAAGCGATCCGCCCAGAATTAGCCTAGTCGCTGGCGTGGCGGCGTCTCATTCCCTACTTTTCGTTATCGATAGCACTGCTCTCTTCTGCAATTTCCTTAGTTGTCTAGCTGGCCACAAATCCCAAAACCCATAGCCAACATCCAACAAGACCCTAAACCCTAAACCCTAAACCCAGGTACTACCTACGTAGCAGCAAACCGCCCTAGTGAACTTTAACCCTGCGGCTGACATGTGGGTAGCTCTCTAAAGTACCTGAAAGCTACTTCGACATGGAAATTTCCATGCCTTAAAAAATGTGTGCGTGGCAGGAACTAACAAAAATTAATGTGCGGGCTCTGGATTTATCTGCGTGGCTCCTGATAAGGGATCCTTCTACTGCTGATATTCGATGAGGATATATATATATCCCCTCATATATGCTTCGTCTTCTTCGTGCACTCGCAAGCTCTCTGCGCACGCCTGGGCAGCGACCTGAGCTTTTTTTCGATCGCAGCCACTTCGGAAGTTCGGGTTAGCATCAGTCACGAGGGACCTCTTTTCCCCATGTCTGTTTGTACAACAGCAATGCTACCCTGATACAACGTATGGCAACCTTGTCGACTTTCTGACGGCGCGAAATCCTCGCCATTCTACCTATGAAGTCCTCGTCGCTGAAGCACGAGCAATCTCAGTCAAGACAGGGTTAAGCGAGTCAATTATACAAGCATGTGCAGTTTCAAGCTTTCTCGCCAAGCCACTGAGCGGATTGAAAATGTAGTTGCTCGAAAGTTGGCTCTTCATGTCTGTCCTTACAACATTTACAAATGCCAGCTTTGTATGTACATTGCAAGAGACGTACCGTATCAAGCCGGGGTTCAATATATGCATCTGCATATGGATCTTCGGCTTCATTTTGTAGAGGGCATAGCCACGACTGCAGCATATTGCTGCTAAAGCTCCGTACCCTTCCTTTCAGAAAAGGCTTTGGCAGGGTTGGTTTGGTGCAATTTATAATTGGGAGTTTGTGCTGGGATTATTCGTGTTTGTAAACGTACAGACAAGAAGCACACATGTTGAACCCATGTGCCACAATGTTGACCGCGGCAGAAGCAGGCACCCAAACTCCATAGTGATGCAGCGACTTGTAAAATGCATTTGTGCTCTGTATCATCCACTCGAGCACTTCTTGGATTGGCCCATCCTAAAGCTGGAAACATATGGCAGTATACGATCGGGTCTCGGGTTAGGATTTAGGGCTATAGGTCTTATATAAAGAAGAAATGTTGACTAACTTTCTTATAACAAGCAAGTTTCAAGCCGTCGAAGTCCAGGTAGGAAACTGGCTAGCCATTGTAGCAATAGAATAGTGTCGAAGCCCTTGCCAATCCCAGAAGGGAAGGAAGCCATCCTATGCACATTCACCCACTTATACATCCCCAAGCCCTACTAGCTAGGTTCACCTTTTATAAAACAACCAAGCATGAACATCAGGTCTGCAGCGAGGCGACGATGTCATCTTCAGCTTCTGCATGCTCAGGCCAGTCAAGCTCGTCGTTTTCCCGTTTTGCAAACACCACTCTTTAAACCTACGGTAGACCTCATCCAACCGCGCATTCATGGACCTCCCGGACACAAAATGCAGGATACAAAGCAGCAAACAAGTTGATGTAGCCATAGTTGAGCCAAAGCCCTGAATCGCATACGTATGTGCCGGGTCAATACGTATCCTCCGCCAATCCTCAGCCCCTGGTATGCCCCGAAGGGGACTGTAGACTCGTTGCTTCCAAGGATGCGGTCCAGGCAGTTGAGGGTTCCATGTAGTTCGAAGGGAGCATTTGGCCGAAACGTCGTACCAATCCTGCGAGCAGATGGGTTCTGAGTTCGTACACGAAACTATACATAAGAGTTCATCCTTTAACCCATATAAAGACCAGCCTCAGTGTCGCAAAGGTGACATACTCGTTTCGAGCTCCATCCAGGATACAGAGCAAACGCTTTCCGTAGCCATACCCAGTCTCCTTTGCATCCTATATAGCCGAAACGAAAGTGGAACATCCGCCCCTCAAATAGGACCTCAGCAAGTGATCAGGCACTGTAGCAATTTATAGCATGTTAACATATCTTGTTGCAGTTGCGAGGCTTCAATACCATCAAGAAAAAGCTCAGTGCAGTCATCCGAGAGGAAATCCAACAAGGAATAGATGCTGGCATCGTTTCTGGCATAGCACTGCGACGGGAACACAGTATAAAGAAGTCTGCTGCAGAAGGAATGCCTTGCATCCAAGTCGAACTTACAACAGCGATATAGGCTCCCCCAATTTATTGCAGCCAAAACTCCCTGACATGTTCAGCCTGTGGCTGCCATAGTGGGACAATAAGCATTGACACGACACTGTCAGGATTGGAACCTTTCCACGGCCCCTGCCCTCATCACCATGGATCATGTAGGGGATCGTCATTGAGCGAGCTGCGGGGTCCAACCCAAAGACGGGGTGGCTTTCATCGATTCCCTTGTATCTGTCCCAAAAGAGCTTAAGCTCCGACATCCAAGCAGCCCCATCCAATATATTGTTCCCAGCAAGGAACATTTCCCCGCCTTTCTCCAGTTCGTACTTTGCCCAAGAAGATAATTTCAGGACTGGCCACTGCGTTGTTGTCTCACGTCTCTTCTTCAGATCACAAACAGGCACGGTTGTGTAGGATACTTCGACTGGCAGGGCAAACTTTTCATCAGCCAGCATGTTGTGTATTTTCTTGCAAGCATTTCCATTGTTGTACATGCCCCGACCACATCGCCCAAGTCGCTGGAGAACTGGATCCCGAACACCTGATGGGACCCTGCCCTGGAGTATCTGAAGCCGTAGCCTATGCGTAACCAGACAAACCTAGCTAAAATTGCCCCATACCATACCACACCCTGTTCGAATGGCCCTGCCTTTATGACGAAGTTTGTTCGACGTCTTCTTCGCCAAGCGAGCAACTCTAGCGCAGGAGTCAGCCTATAGGCAGCGTGGGTTTAATCGAGCACACAACACTATAGATCTATGCAGCTCCTCTTCCCCTAAAAGCCAGAATTGGCTAGATCAATCGAGAAGCACCACTGCTGATTCCTCGGAGGAACTCTTCGACCACGTCGGAGTCGTCAGAATCATCAGCTGGAGGCACACCTGAGCGAGGGGTTAGGGCTTCACTTAAAGTTCATAGGCGCTTAGGGTTTAGGGTTTGGGGCCTTGGGTTAAAATTCGGACACCTATAAGGGGTCGTGCCACAAAGCGGTTGCCAATCATATCGTCGGTCAAGGCACCGTAGGCCCATTCCATGGAAGGACCTGCGTAGGGATATCAAGTTAACACTCAGTACGTACAGTCTACAGCAGGAATGCAGTCCTAGAATAAGGGACAAGCATATTTTCGGCGATCAGCTCACAGCGAGCTGCTTCAGACACATTGCAATCGGACTGTGGTCATGCACCACAAGCCTGCACCCAAAGGCCGGTTCGGAGCCGGCTAGCATCAATTAAAATTCACAGGCGAAGGAGCTAGCTAGGATGAGGATTTCTTCACACCCTGCTTTCGCGAAACCCTTCGGCTTGGAGCCTTTGCCAAAGATTCTGTGGATTTGCCCTTGTTGAGAGCCTTAGCCTTTGCCTTGCCTTTTGCCTTGGCTTTCGGTTTCGGAGCCGATCCATCAGTAGGCGGAGCAGCAGATGCACCCTTCACGGACCTAGGTTGGCATCTCTAGCAGAACCTGCAAGCTCAGGCTACCTGAAAAATATTATAGTTAAGTGACTTGGACCGCATCACATAGTTGTTGAGTGCCAGATCTTCCTTGGTCGCCTGAACGTAGTTGCCCATGATCTTCTTCTCCAACCTGCAGTGACCAGCTTGGGGTGGCTTTGCACGGGCTGAGGGCTTACATCTAGTCTAGAGGGCATAGGGGGCTCAGGGTTAATAGATAATGTCAGACGAAGTTCTCTGCGACAGTTGTCTCATCATTGGTGGTGGCTATACTTGCTTGAAGTTGCACAAGGCCATCATAGACGGACTGAAGCTTGTTGATGCAGCCGTCGATTGACTTGCCAATCCTGATCGTAACGGAATCTTGTGTAAACCCATGCAAGCCCCAAATTCCAAGCCTAACAAGCCCAAGCAACGATTTGCCTTTCTCGGACTTCCCAGCGAGCACCCTGTCCTGCATGCTTGAGCTTTGGGGGGGGGGGGGGGGGNNCAGTGGGGATGTCTACATTCTCGCATTATCAACACACTGTCCCTGACATTCTCAGCATTGTCCACCTTTCGCCCCAAAACTTGCAAGAACATTGGGAGCATGGCCGATGCAGCAACATTTTGCTGCAAAGAAGGAAAGCATATCCTTAGTTTGTTATGAGCTCAACAATGCTACATTCGTGAAAGTCACATATGCCAAGTAGGAGCTTGAAAGATGCACCGGCTTGAACAGCCGCTTCCGATGCTTGCTGTCCAGGATTGGCTTCATGCATTGGGGCATTCTCGTCTGGCTCGGCACCCAGACCCCCGGGCTCGAGGAGGGACAGGTTGGGGTCCTAAGATGATCAAAAAATATATGATAGCACATTCTTCCTTGCATCAAATACATAGCCGGGTTTCGCTTATCTCAGCCCTGCCCTCGAAGTTCACACGCATTCCGGTCTCGGTGCTCTTGGCCCAGCGCATGTCCAGAGGGATGTCAGCCTCTTCTTCTCCATGTACTTCGTTCCATCTTTTCAGGCCGCGCTTTGCGGCCCACATGAAAGCATTGTCAGCCATCTTCCTCAGCATTATAAGATGCATGTATTCATGCATGACATGTGTGACACAGATGAAGACAGGGTGCTCAGTGTAGCTTTCGTTGTCGATGAGCCACTGCTTTGTGACATACCCACCACGTTGCGTTCGTTTGTTGATGCTCTCGCTCCACTGCTGCACAGTCGTTTCAACCTTGTCCCAGTGACCACCATGTTCTAGCAGCAGCTTGCGAAGCTTCTCTCCTGAGCTGCTACATATATGCACATACACACCATGTACA